GAGCCACTCTTGATAATGAACCTCTTCACTTGCATATTCTTAGCTAATCCGAGGCCGCTAGAAGGGCCTCGTATTCTACTACATTGTTGGTAGCATCAAATCCTAACCTCACAGCACAATTAATCTTATGTCCTTCAGGCCGACTAAGACCAATCCTACTCCAGATTTTGTATCTCGAGAGGAACTATCAATAAACAGGTTCCAGGTGGAAGGTTCTATATGTGCCATTTTCTCTTCCTCTTCTGGAATATGAGCAAACTCTACGACAAAATCTATTAGAGCTTGGCCATTGATGGCAGCTTTTATCTTAAACACAATATCAAACTCATTAAGTTACACAACCTATTTCATCATTCTTTCTGAAGTGTCAGGCTTCTGCTGTATTTACTTGAGTAGGAAGTTAGTTACTTTTATGGAGTGCACCTGGAAGTATGGCCTCAATATTTGGGAGGCAATTACCAAAAAGAGAGCTACATTTTCCATATCTAAATAGTGGGTCTCTGCTATCAAAAGTACTTTGCTTACATAATAAACAGGTAGCTGGTGATCGCCTTTCTCTTTTACTAGTATCGAACTAATAGCATTAGTGGTAACTACTAAGTATAGTTGTAGAGGTTCTTTAATCTTAGGCTTGGAGAGGATGAGAGCATATCCCAAGTGCTTAGTCAGCTTTTGAGATGAAGTAGCTCAAAGTGTCTATGTGTCCAATGAGGCTCTGTACTTCTTTAGGCTTTTAGGATGACCTCATTTTGATTATGACTTTAATCCTTTCAGGATTAGCCTTATGCCCCTTTGGTTAACCATGTAGCCCAAGAATTTCCCTGAGGCGACTTTGAACACTCACTTCGGGGGGTTTAGTCTCATCCTGTACATTTACAGTATTCGAAAGGCTTCATCGAGGTACTTCACATGATCCTTTACTTTCACGCTTTTCACCAGTATATCATTCATATACACCACCATTGTCGTTCTAATCTAATATGTGGCCTCGACATTTTTTAACCCAAAGGGCATCACCTTATAACAATAGAGATCTTTGTCCATTATGAAGGATGTATGCTCTTCATGAGTTGAATACAATGAGATCTAATTATAGCCTGAATAGGCACCCGTGAAGTTCAGTAGTTCATGCTCGACAGTAGAATCAACGAGTTGATCTATTCGTGGAAATGGAAAGCTATCTTTGGGGCACGCCTAGTTAAGATTGAAAAAAATCTACGTATATCCTCTACTTGCCATTGTGTTTTTTAACAAGTATATAGTTTGATACCTACTTTGAATAAGTCGATTCTTGGACGAAATGATTGTCAATTAACTTATTTACCTCATCCTTCAGGGACTCATACCTTTCTGGTTTGGTGGCCCTTTTTTTTATTGATGATGAAGTAGCTTTAGGAGTGAAAACTAATCTTTTGGTCGATACCGAACAAGTATTTATGTCTCCAAACAAAGATATCCAAGTTTCACGTAAGAAACATTTCAATTTTTCCTTAATCTCCGTTGGCAGATCCTTTCCGACCTGCAAGGATTTGGAAGGATCCTGGGGATCTATTGGAAAACTCTCCAACTCTTCCACTTAGCTATTCGAGGCTCATAATCAATGATGCGAGGATCTAGTTCATCACATATAGTCACTTCTTTAGTAGCTCCCCCTTTTTCAAGAGATGTTATCACTTCAAAGGCAGCCTCTTTTTCAGAGGCATCTACATTTCGACATCTTTCCATTGTTCAGGGATCTATCCTTGCTCGAAGGCTTCGTTAATGTCAATGTCCATCAAAATCACATTAACATCCCTAGGTTTTGCCTTCTTGAAAGAGTTCAAATGGCACTCACTTGCACTCATTTGGTCACCCTAACAGTTAGGATACCATTCTCAATGGGAAACTTTATACACAAGTGATGAATGGATGTAACAGCTTATAGTTCCTTCAATGCTATTCTTCCTAGCTCCCCATGGTAGGTAGAATGATTGTCCACTACCAAAAACTCCATAAAATGATATGCAGTCAATGGTGGTGTTCCCATCTCCATTGTTAGAGTGGTTTTTCCCTTTAGAATGGTGCTATCGCCAATGAAGCCATATAATGGGGAACAAATAGGGGTTAGCTCATGTTCTAATTCTATTTTGTCGAAAGTTGCTCCAAATATGATATTAACTGAACTCCTATTATCCACTAACATTCTTTTCAGGCCATTTTGTGCCACATGGACCTTACAACTAAGGCCCCGCAATGTGGATAATGCAAGCTAGTCGCATCATCTTGATTGAATGTAATGGTTGAACCCTTCTCCCAGTCGAGGGTCGACTGTTATTGACTAAAAAGCTTGCCATTGGGAGATCCCTGACTTCTCTTACACTTTTTTCTACGCATTTCTAGTCTCCTGTCCAACATACGGACCTCCAAAAATTGTGTTGATCTTGCCTAGAAGGTGCATCTCCTCGTGGACGCCTGTTTCTTCTTTGATTCCCTGATTATGGATGCAAGGTAATGTTTCTACAGTCATCTATATTATGGCTATAGGAGTGATGATAAGTATAGTAGAGGGGTGTCCCATCCTTATTCCTAGGTTTAGAACTTTGCACTCTACTCATTCCCCTTTGGGAAAACTATTGGCTGGACCTTCCTTGGTATGCCTCAACAGTGGGGTTGACTTTCTCATAAACCAAAGCTGGTACTATGATCAATGTTACTACAACCAGTGCTTGTCCTAGGTTGAGGGTGGTTGATTGTCCGACTTGTTGGAGGTGGGACTCTTTCCTCATTGTCTTTGAAGAGGTGGACTGACCCCTTAGAGCTAATAGTGTCTCTCTATCGGTAACTTTCACACAGTAGTTCATTTCACTAGTTAAAGTCTTATCTTCTCTGACTTGTGGTCCCCGAGGTAGTTAGGAAGGTCCTATTTGATTCCTGTCCTATTCGGCTCTCCTCTGATGCTTATTCCTAGGTAGAGTATTTAGAGGTAGGTTACCATAAATAGGTTCATTTATGGTACAAAGAAAGGTCGAACTGAGGTGGCCCCATTGTCTATTTTTAGGTACAAAGAAAGGTCGAGCTTGTCTATTTCTAGGCCTTTCGAGGCTTAACCCGCCGAAGACGCTTATGAATTTTTGAGGTATGTCTTCCGACTCATAATTTAGAGGAAATTTGAATGGAACCTCATTGGGTCGGTTAGTGACATAGTTGGCGGATGTATTAACTTGAACTTCCCTTTCTTGAGGGGCCTCTTCCCTGGCGTAATGTTGATAATTAGCCATTTGACTTTGGATCTTCTCTCCACCATGGTAGTAATTCTCTTGCGGAGGGTCGTGAAAGAAAGCATTCCATTGAGCTCTGTATAGAGGGGACCGGGTATCATCCATTGTTCTGCATATTCCTAAGCAACTTGTGCATGACAATATTATGCTGGGTAATATCTCAAATGTTTGCAGCCATGGTAGCCACCTCCCAGTGAGCCAACAGCTATTCTAGACCCACCTCTTGATCCGCTTTACCGGTGTTGCCGATGAAATCGATGGCGAGTTGCTGGAGTAGCATGTAAGGATTTTCCTTCTTCAGGGTGCTCCCTAGCTCTTTGAGGCGCTGACACTTCATGTTCAGAACTCATGGTAACGTCTTCTTTCCAAAACCAACTTGGCTTTTTTACTGTGCAAATGATATTTCTTTTTCCAAAGAATATAATGGAATCCAATAAATGGTTCCAATTTTTATATTTGATGGTTATTTCTTCAAGAACAATCCCTTTTCTCCAAAGATAAGTAACTCTCAAGATATAACTCTATACCAGCTTTTTCCACGATTTTTTCGTGGTTGAATGTGTGAACCTCCTACAGACGAAGCTAATCTATTCCCCGTTTTTCATAATGGTTACGTGGACAATAGATGTCGAGCCCACTCATGTCTACTCAAGCAAATTTCATCACATTTTGACCGGAGATCCGGATGGAAAAGGGTGGTGTTTATAGACGTGAGAGATGCTTTACGATGTGAGACAAAAATATTCAAGCACCGTGATCAAAGATGATTGTAAATCAACAAATAATCATGAACAATTCCACCAAAGTAAAAACAAACTCAACTCAAGCAGATAAATATTGAATGAGCAAGAGAGAAAGTCGGTGTGTTTTTCAAATGTAAAGAGTTGCATTATGTTCAAATGTTACAAGAGTTTCTATTTATAGAGTTCTAGTCGGAGTGGTTACTGTTGGATAAAAATCACATGGCCTCATCTTCCAGTCCGAAGTCTTACACACTTGATCTGCTAAGCATTAATACATCGACAGCAGGTCAGCCACCATATACCCTAAGCTGACAATCCTGACATTCATCATTATAAACATTACATCAATTATTTCTAGAGATTGCCTGTGATCCTCTAACACATAACAACGGCTTTAGCCAAAAGAAGCTTCGGATGGAGCGAAGGATTCGACCAAATAAGAGCTTCGGAACAAAGGAGATCGACTTCTTCTTTGACTTCTTTACTTTGACCAATTGGATCTTTGTTGACTTTGTTAGATCTGACTTAATGTATTAACGTGGACTACAATGTGGTCTCCATAAGGAGCCTCAGTGATGAGGCGTAACATAAATCTTATTCATTCTTGTTTTTTACATTGGAACAGTGGGGGAGGGGTTAATGTTTTGATTCTATTTCTAAATTTAGAAATTTTTTATTAGTGATTTTATTTCTAATAATTTATTTTATTTATTGTTTTTTTAAATGAGTAAAAGGTAGTCATATAAGTCATGTTATTGGGTTTTGACGTGTTAGTGGATTATTGTGTAGGAACTGGGAGTAATCATGTACATTATATTTCAATTATAGAGTTCTAAAGAAATGAAATGGAAGAATAAATTATTTAGCATTTTTACGTTTTTGGAAATTTGGATTACTTACAAAAAATTAATTTGGAGGTGAAAACTTCTTCAAACGAGCTTATCATAATTGTTTATTTCATCATTTCAATATGAATTCATATTAGTTGACTTATGTTATGATGCACATGGGAGGGTTTCCTTGGAAGTGGCATTGGGTTGTTGCCCAAGTTTTGGCTATCATATGTGGTGCAGCATGTGTTGAGAGTCATGAAAGCAGTCCCTACGTAGTAAGTAGTAGCCATCCTACGATGTTTATTATTATTATCCTAGTGGTATCTCAATATCAATATTGGTTTCTTTGAATCGAGAGGAATGATGCAAAGCATAGGAGGATCCGCATAAAGGCCAGATGTATCATTTGGAAGGTTTATCGCATGATCTATTTTCTTCATAAGAGAAGACTGTTTCGAGTTGTGCATTAGTGAAAGGATTTGACACTTGCACCCATATTTGGTATTGCTTTGTACCACCCTTCCTCATCTCCCCACGTTTTGGTTTGGTGTTGCACTCCATCAGTCGGATCTGTCAAGATCAATACTGATGGATTCGTTTAGGATGGTTTTGCGAGTGGGGGAGACATCATCAGAGATCACGCAGGTCAACGTATTAGGACTTTCTCAGATTTGTACGGATCGTGCATGATATTAGAGGCAGAGCTCAGAGCTATTTTAGATGGGATTTTACTAGCTAGAGAACTCGATCTTTCAGATATTTGGATTAAGTCAGATTCTGTAGTGGCTACTCACTGAATCACTAGAGGAGGAGGACCATGGGCTATTCAGGGCTTACTTACACAGATCATAGATATCATATCATTTGACAGAGACACATTTTCCCACATCTGCAGATAGAGGAATCATGTTGCAGATGCTCTTGCTGTAGAAGGTTGGGATCATCCGCGATATAAGATATATGGAGTAGCTGACCTACCACGACATGTTAGAGTACTCCTACAGATTGATAGACATGGATTGCCCAACATTATATTATGATTTTTTATTCTTATTCTTATTTTGTCCATTATAATTTATTTTTATTGTAAGGGAAGTAATACTTTTTCATTTACTGCTTTCATTATTTTCTCATGTAACCACGGTATTACTTCCCCACAAGTGAGGATATATTAATAAAATTTTGGAGGTACCGCCCTCCTTCCCCCAAAAAAAAAGTATGGCTATCCTGCAGATTTTATCCTGGTGTTCCTGATAATCAGAAATTTGCAAGCTCAAAGGTCTATGTTCTGACATTAATAAAATTTTGGAGGTACCGCCCTCCTTTAACCAAAAAATTAAAATGGATAAATCATTAATCGAGAAAATGAGTGGATGCATTATGTCGAATATTGTTTCCCTAGTTACCAAATATTGGCAACGGGTTGTGGGGCACTATGACAACTTTTCAAGCATATTTAATGAAATATAAAAAGAAGAAATACATTCATTTTTTACTAACTTTATGTGATGGAGTAATTTGTCTATCATATATACGGTCTTAGGCCAGTGTTCTTCTCATAACTATTAAGGCTATTTATCCAATAGTACTTTGTGCTTCATCATACTAACTGTCACATTATTGTCTACTTAGAATGGATATTACAACGTGGTCGTGAATATCTAAACTAGTTGTTCGCTGTTTAAGAATTCTTGTTTGAAATTTGAAAATTTAATTAGTCTTTTTTTCTTCACAAAATGGATCAATTAGTTATCCCAAGATTAATGAATTTCTACAACCCAAAAATCATCATTTTCATCAAGTACTGAATTTTAAGGAAAGTTTCTCCTCGGACCATGAGAATATATTCTTTCCCTTGACCAGTTAATGCTGCGGTTTTGGGAACAGTCTAATGAATTTTAGTTACAACGAGAGTGATGTTGAAAGTGTGATTCCTAAAGGCATCTAGTTGTCTTCTTCCTATTGGCGTTAGAGGAGTCTTTCAAATGGCAGGAAGTAAAATGTAGGAAGATTGTAAGCTAGCAAGTGAGAGATCTTTTTCTAGTCGCAATCCTAGTCTGAATGTAGTCCCCAGTTAATATGATACGGATAGTTGTCATTATTGTTCCTTGATCTTACAAGAGGAAGCGGGTGACGTGGGAGTGATAGAAGGCCCTTGATTTGTAAGCAACTCCGGGTTCATGAGGGGGAAAAAAAAAAGAACTGGCGTGCTTTTCCTGCTTGGTTTGGGATTCCATCCCATGAACCCATCATGAGATAAAAAAAAATTGATATATTAGCGTAGAGTATCAAGGTCTTTTCCAATGAAGTCAATCTCTTTTACTTCACTGAATTGACTTGCTTGATCTCAGACTTGCTGATGAAAAACTTAATAGTGGCCTTTTTCCTTTACGAGGAAGGGCCCACCCATTTGGAATTTGTTTCAGTTCTATCATGCAACCCACTCACTACTCCTAGAAACTAAGTAATGCAATTTGGGGGACTAGACTCCACCAAGAGGTTCTTTCTCTTCACGTAATTTAGCCCACCCATTTTATTTCCATGTTGGAGGAGTGAGGGGACTGTACAGAATATTGGTCCACTACGAATAGCTGAGTTTTTTCGATTCACTCACCCTATGTGGCCAGCCTTCTTGGTGGGAGTTCATCGAGGTGCTCGCCTTCATTCCACTCGAACAACCTTGTACCATCAACACCACAAAAATAGTCAACTCTATTATCAAAGAAATAAGAAAGCAGGTAATTGGATAAATTTTCCCTATTTGCATTTGGTCCCTAGAAAGTGCAAAATTGCAAATTGTCCAAACTTTTCAAATCTTTCACGAGTCTTTAGGAGCTAAATAACATCTCGTGAACTTAGAATAACTTACTTTCAATCTCTTTGAAACTATAGTTAGACCCTAGACTTTCAGAAATTACATTTAAGTCTCAATTAGATTTCCTATAAACTTGTGGCCTACTTCTCAATGCTTGCTATAATTTGTCGGTATTCATAATTTCGTAGTTGGTCCGTATAAGCTTGATGCAGACTATTTACACATCCTTGTTAGCATTGCATACACAATTATTATCATAAACTTCTTGTAGTAACGGCTATAATCAATGGATTAGAAGTGTCGACATATATTTCAAATTTTGGAGGAATCAATAGAAGATAAGGGTTATAAATGGATCCAAATTCACCATGAAGCCTACAAGCCTAGAACATCGGACTCAGTTCGACTTGCCAAGCTGAAAACTCCGCTATGCTCTTACTTTCTTTAAATGTAGAGTCAAGTCAACCAGGAATCGGGCCAATTGCTACTCCTAATTTTGTGATATTACCATTTATTTATGAAATATTTATTTTACCGTTTATAATTCTATTTATCAAATAATATATATTTAGTAAGTAATTCCAAATTTGATGGGTAATTATTATTTTTAAAATTGGAATATTACTTTTTCTCCCTATACAATCCTAAAAGGACGCTAATATTGAAGTATTAATTAGAATTTATCTCACTCCATCTCAGTAATCCGTAATGCTAATCACCATCACCCAACCCTTGTTGAATAGTTACCCATTTTACATGGACATCATCAATCAGAAGTGATATCATCTTACTAGTACTAGGGATGTCAACGATCCAAAACTCGAAACTTGGGCAAAAACGACTTGGGCTTTTTTTGGCCCGAGCAGAGCAAAAATTGAAGCTTGGTTCGGGCTTTCGGCACGGGCCTAGTCTGAGTTGAGCCACAAGTAGCCCGAATCGGCAAGTCAAACTGACAACCTTACCTATTATGCAGAATTACACTACCGACCACATATTCATCGTTATACAAGAAAAAGAGATGATAGTCACCAGAAATGGAGCTAAACCCCTAAAATCGAAAAAATTGGGGTTAAATATGTATAGTCTAGATGAAAATTGCAAGTTTTTGAGTTAATAACGAAAAGGATATGGGGTCAAATTCATGTTAATCTCTCATCTTTTTAAATGTGATCCTCGAGAGTAATGATCAAGGAATCTAGCAGGTTCTCGAGTTGGCAATGAAATTTTCCATAATGTTGTTGATGAGTTACACCTTGTAAATTCTAAAACCTAGTAAAATAAAAATCCATTTTTTATTTATTCAATTTAAGCAATGGACAGTAGGCAGTCATAATATCCTATGATTAGTGTTAACTCAAAAAACCACTTTACGAACCTCACTGAAATCCTTGCTAAGCATGTAGTAGTATGTGTGGAGAATGAAAAGATGAAAGGTTCGCATAAAATAAATGCACATAAAGTGTGATACTCGTAACATAATCAGTTATTAAGAAGCCAACAAGGAACCAACATTTATCATTCTTCTAAAATAACCAAATTATCTCGAGACTTGGACGGAAATATATAAATATCCCTTCATGCATGCAATTCAAATCTGTCCTTCCTAAATAGCCATTTCGTTTCTAGCTTCTGTTTGAGTATCAAAACTAGTGAAATTTGGAGGTGAAAACTTGGCTAAGTGAGAGGATTTATTAATCTGATTTCTATCGTTAATAAATAGGCGCCATCTTTAGAAATTGAACAAAGTAAACCATGAAATTTTGTTATAGTGAAATCTTTAGCATCTAGTAAAAATAAATCCTACTGGGAAAAATTTGGAAGGAGAATTATCACTAGAGGATAAAATCAAAGGATACAATGGCGATGAGCTTATAGATAGTAATGCTAATACAAAATGGCAGCATGAAGAGATACTACAAATTAGCATTTCTCTGCTCAGTGTCATCGTTTAAGAACAAAAGGCATCTCTTGCTAAAATAGTCCTGAAATAGCTAAAAGCCTAAAGGTATTAATCGCGGAGAATGGGTTTTTGCGTGCAAAAGTTGAGAATTTAAGAGGAAATTGGCAGGGTGATTTCTGTAGAAACGGAGAAAAGCACATTGCTTGATCTTTTCGCTAGAAGAGCAGCAGTTTACAGATTTTGAGAACTGATAATAATATGATTGAAAAGAAGAGAGCGGTGTGGTATGAGGATACATTTGCAATAGAAAAGTCTTTGGACGAATTAATCTCCCATGATAGGAGAACAACTTAATACTACCGTAAGGTAGATTGAAAAATTATGTCAAACTTTATACAGTACTCTATTGATGAAAGAGTATGAAGGTCAGTCGTCTAGGTCATATGAGATAGATAACAATGATGAATGTATACTGTTTTCCAGGAAAATCAAAGAGGTGCCATTTCCGAACAATTTTGCTCGTCCTATCATAGAAAAGTATGAGGGAAAAGGAGATCCTATGTATCATCATCTATTTGTGTATATGACACAGATGAAATTGAAAAAAGGCAGGCCCTATGCTGAAGTGCTAAAGTTTCCACTTAACATTAGACAAACAGGCTAAAAGATGGTATATCAAATTGTCGCTAGGATCGATCAGAAGCTGACCACAATTGAACCAAGCATTCCTATGAGCGTTCGTCCGAAGTAGAAAGGTGGCTGGAAGAAGGCAAGTCTCTTAAAAGTTATTTCGCACAGTTCTGCACTGAGTTAATAGATTGGGAGACTATATCGGATGAAAAGGCCAGAGATACCTTATGGAATGGTCAGTTAATGAAGACTTCTTTCTGGCAGGATGTTTACAATCGAAATCCTACCCCTATCATCAATTGGTGAACCTGATTAAGAGCTATATCCAAATAGAGGACACTATCGCTAATCGAAAAAATGTAGAACATGTTCGCACAGAAAAGATCAAAGGTAAAACCTCCACACATTCTTTTAAAGTGAGAAAATAGCAGCATTTTCATTTTATAGAACTTAGAGATAGGGTACATACAATATCTTCAGCCCCTGCACCAGCCACAGGTTAATACCATCTTTCTCTAGGAATCAAAAGGTAAAATTCTGTAAGATTTATCGCTACAGGGATCAAAATACAGGTAAATGTTATAAGGTACTAATAAATAATGAACTCAAAACTATAATCGGAGGCCCTTAGATAGTTGGAAGGTAAAACATGTTCCCACTACAATGCATTGGTAATAGGGGCCATAATAGCTCCTAACGGCCTTAGCCGATATTGGTGGATAATGATAGTTTTGTTAATATTTTGTTTGGGAGTGCTTTTGACCAAATGATGGTCGATCACCTTAGAATACCCATGGCCGAACCATTTTATGGTTTTACTGGGGACAATTTGATCTCAAGAGGACATTATGTTGACAGTTGAGCTCGGTGAAGAGCCAATTGCATTTCAAGGACACATAGACCATCTAGTCGTGGATAGCAAATCTGCTTATAATGGAATCTTATGAAGACTAGCTTTAAAGCAAATGAAAGAAGTAATATCTATCCGCCACTTGTGCCTGAAATTCGAAACTCCCTAAGGTATAGCTAATATTAAGGAAAACTAAGCTTCCATGTGAGAATGTTATTTCAGCACTTTACAAAAAGTAGCCCCAAAACCCTAGTGGGTAATACCATATTTATCGTTGAAACGAAGGAAAACATGTTTGAAAATCCTTTTCTAGGAAAGCAAGTATCTGATTCTGTGAATGTTAGGTTGAAGGAAGCATGGGTCTTGAAATACAAACCAATATTGCGCCGGAAAATAGGGTCGCAGAGATGAGAACTTGAAGGTGAGTTTCAATCTGCCCAAGGAATTTCAACTAAAGACGAGGTTTATCCAGCTAAAGAAACACGAGGACTAATTTCCATCCCAAAGGAAATTATTATCAAAACGAACGAGACCACGTTCAAGTACACTTAAATGCCAGACATTGTAATAATGTGCGAAGTGCTTATGTAATGAAAAAGCCATGGCAATAAAATTTCATTTGGAAGGCTACGTTGTCAAAATGTGAAATCAACACAAGAATAATAGCTTCGGTTGTTGACACAAACTTGTTATAAATTCGTCTATGCAAAGCATAATTAAATAACAAATGGGTAATACTGGGTGAGCCCAAGAAGATGGCCAAATGAACAAATTCGTACAACATATAACAATGATATTTCATTAATGACTTGCCAAAACAAAATTTTCAAATGAAAAAAATGAAATTTCATTAACACTAAAAATGAGACAAAATACGAGCTATCTGTCTAAATTGACAAACGGTAGTAGATTTCCAAAAGATGGGTCATCTTGGCTAATTGGGGCATTATCCTCAAATAGTACACTCGATTGGAAGGAGACTGTTCATTAGTAGAAGCGTCAGCTGGCTTGTCTCAAGTAGCGGCTTCGTTGGGAGGAATAACTGATTGGTTTAAAAGTTGGGCAGGTTCGACAGAAGTGGATGGATTATCAAAAGCCTTGATGACTTGCAGAGTGTCCTCAAAGAATGAGGTGTCCCCAGCATCATCTTTGTGAGCTTCCAAGAATTCCAAGTCCTATTCAGGATGAAAATTCTTGATAATGTCAAGAACGTTGTTATCCCCATCCTACACTACATCCTCAATAAGATTCGCTTCGTTAGCCTTCTCCTTATAAAGGCCAAACTCCACAAGAGCTAACTTTGTATAGTATTTTCCAGCTGATTGAGAAGCAAGGCCTTTTTACTCCTCACCTTATCCAGGTCCTTGGAGATAGAAAATTGTTCGATCTTAGCTAACTGAAGCTTTTCTCTGAGGCACAAAAGTTCAGCGTCAGATTTGGCGACATTAGCAGCATGGCTTTCTTTGGCCAGTTTTAAGTCTTTGGTACTAGTGCCTTAATTTTGGGTATTACCCGAGGGCATTGGGTATTACCACCCTAAATTTAGGTATTACCATCCTAAGAACAAAGAAATTTTTTGCAAGGAGTTACCTTGGAATTTTGGGGCGTTACAATTCTGATAGTGAAGATGAGAGTTCGGAATAGTGTATTGTGTCCTTATCATCATCACACATGTAGTCAATACATTTAACATTGAAATAGTTGAGGAATTGTCAATAGTATTGCCACCATTGATATCGCCTACCATTTTGCATGACTTTCACATTGACTTTTTGACTTGATATTACCTCGATACTCTCCGAGTTGCCATGTTGTTTTCCAATGTCATTATTCAATTACACACTTTTCCTATTGATACAAGGATGTTGCCTATTAATTATCGACATACCATGTTAGCTCATCCTTTTGTTGTCAATGTTCCTACAATTCATGTCATGATTAAAAGACAAATTATTTTCAATCATGAAATTTTTCAGCTTGTTTTTTATGTGCAATTTAAGATAAGGTACTTTAATGACTATTATACTCTATTGCGTGTCTCATTAACTCGGTTTTCTAAACATGTCAAGAAATATTTTTTGGAACAATCACATAAAGATAATATTTTTGATTGGGCATCCAATGTGAATGAAACTTATCTTTTCAGATGTTGCAATCATATTTTTCTACCAGTCTATTGGGCTAGTTCCTTCTACTCCTCATTATGCACAATCACGTGAAGATCTTGTGGATGAGTTGCATAAGTTATTACTTTTTGGAGTTCCTTACTGATATTTGGTCAGAAGAAGAGATCTTCCCCCTTGGATAGATCATAATTTTGGAAATGATTTGTAGCTTCATTTTTCATCAGTTGTTCAATTTCGTTATTTGTTTCATAAGAAATATCGTCCTCCTTGGTATGAGTTCAGCCAGATCATGTTAGCCAATGCTCAATATAAGCATTTGGTCAACACAAAAGATCGACCTCCTTAGAGTATGAAGTTTTCAGAGTTGAGTTCTCTCGGTCAGTGAAAATGATGGAGATGAAGATAGAGATTAAAATCAGGATAGATTTTTGTTAAGAATTTGACTCAAAAAATATATATTTAGATTATATAAGATTAGTTTTGATATTTTGATACAGCTTTAGTTTATTGGAAGTTCATTTGCTTTTGACTTCTTTTAATTTATATGCTTTATAAATTGAGTGGCTCATTCATTGTAATATTCAACATGATTATATGAATAAAAAATTATTTACCTTGTCCTCAATTCTTTACTTCTTTCACCCCCTTTCTTTTGTTGTTCGTTAACAAATTACACACTCTTGCTTCACTATCACGTAGGCGAAGTCACTCATTCAATCAAAGCTCCTAGAGGCTAACCTCGAGTTCTTCTCGAAACTGGGAATTGACGCCATCAGGGAGATTGATTCTGCTGGTTATCATTCCCTTGAACCTATTGATCTGGTAGGGAATTTAATCAAAGTAGTTGTTTCTCAATCTCTAGCTGTAAAAAGATCAAGCTGCTGATCCTCCTGCTCCTAACACTTAGTTTTTAATTGTGAGGCGACTTAGACATTTTCTATTTTTGCATTTCTTCTTTTATATTGTAGTTTAACCTCTCAATTAATGAAAAGTATTATTTCTGATCCATGCTTCGAATGTACCCTATTTTCTTGCAATAACATGTATTAAGTAAATGATGCTATTCGATCGATGATTAATTATCAGCCATTCCGACACTACACTTTAGCAAATTAAAATATTTACACCTCGAAATCACTGCCAAAGAATACATAATTAATAACTAAGAAACCACTGTCAATTGTTGAGTTGAAGAGTACATAACTCGTGAATAAGAAATTATAATTCATTTTCGTGACAAAGAGTATATTATTTAAACCAATTTCTAATCTGAAGTGTAATTACTGATAATATTTTAATAGCGTTGGGCATTCAAAGAATGAGGCATCTCATATCCTTCCAAGACCTCAATTTTGTGCATACCAAGATGGACTTTAGAAGATATTTTGTACTGGCCCCCCAGTTTGGATCGAGGTGCCTGAACTAACTTCCTTAGTTGCCAGAAATATTTTCCTGAGCACGAGGTCATTGATCCGAAAATATTTCCTATTTATTCTTGCGTTGTAGTACTTGGTCATTTTCATCTGATAAGTGGCAAGCCTTTCTTTAGATTGATCTCTAGCCTCAACCAAGAGGTCGATTTCACACTATCTCGTCATGTCATTGAATACTTCATTGTACAAAATTCGATGAGGGGAGGGAATTCAAATCTCAAGGGATACCATAGCATCAGGTCCATAAGTTATGGAAAATAGGGTTTTGCCTATAATGGTTTTACTGGTGGCGTGGTATGCTCACAACACATTGTGAAACTCATATACCCAAGCCCCTTTAGAAGCCTCTATCTTTCTCTTAAGATTATACTTGATTGTTTTACTAATTGCATTGGCTTAACCGCTTTCTTGTGGATTGTAGGGGTTTGAGAACTATTTCTGAATCCCAAAGTCACACAAAGTTTCCACAAATTTTTATTGTCAAACTGCTTAGAGAATGCAGACCGAATCTATACAATATGATTCTCCAGATGAACTTGGTTCGATTTCAACCCACTTCGTAAAGTAATAATAGCTACTATTAAATGTTGGCCTCCGGCTCACTCCTTAGGCAATGGATCCACAAGGCTATGCCCCACTTAAAAAAGGCCATGGACTGTGTTGTGGTCAGCTCTAACGATGAAGTCTAGGTATGTTGGAAAATCTATAGCACTTGTCACACATTGGCATAATCCAAGGAGTCCTTTTTCAGAGTTGGCCCGTAATACCCGTGCCTCAAGATCTTTTGCACCATTGACAAACCACCACCACGATTGCAAAAAATTCCTTTATGTACCTTAAAAAATAGGTATTCTGCCTTGTCTCCATTGTTACATTATAGCAAAGGAGTAGAGTAACCCTTCATACAAACATTTACCCTATGAATCAAGATGCTTTCAGCTTCAGATTTTTAGGTTCGGCCTTTTTTGAATGGGAGCTTGTGATCTACCAAGTAATCAGAGAGGTTTTCATCCGTTTAATATTGGTTGATAACCACCTCATTTTTAGCCTTATTAGAAGGCTTTTACACATACTCAATTGGAATTACCTTCAAAAGCTTGGATCCTTACTACTGGAAAATTGAAGGCAAGCAAGTAAAGTTGGGAATTATTTGATCAGAAATACTTTCTTCTATTGCCTTGAAAAAAATACTGCAGTTTACATTCCATTTTATACACACTAGAGGACACAGTATCAGAATAAATGTGTCTATTACATATCCAAGAAGACTCCTTAAATTACTCAATCAATTATTGGAATACTAGTAGATACTTGACTAAAATAAAGTTCAGTGAATGATTCTTTGAACTATTCAGTGATCATTAATTTGGTTTATTTTCTAATATTACCTCCCGTAAACCAAATTTGCTTTTCATTCCAAGTTTCACAAGTTGTTTCTTCAAGTTCTGACCTCCAACTGGTTTTGTAAATATGTCTGCTACTTGATCAGCTGTTTTGCAGTATTTGACTTGAATTATTCCATCATGAACAAGCTCTCTCAAAAAGTAATACATCATACGAATGTGCTTAGTCCACCCGTGTAAAACTGATTCCTTTGTAATAGAAATTGCTGAATTATTGTCACACAAAAGGGTTGTAGGAACATTCTATTTATGGTTTAGATTCTCCAAAATGCCTCATATTCATACAATTAGGCAGCCAGAAAACAATGTCCCAATAAATTCAGCTTTCGTTGTAGAAAGAGCAACTATTGGTTGTTTCTTAGAACTCCAACAAAATACTCAACTTCCAGTGCTAAAGGCATAACCCGACGTACTTTTACTATCATTAACACTTCCTGTCAGATCACTGTCAATGTATCCAAAGAGTGTAGTTGGAACATTTTCTTGATAAAAAAAATGCCATAGTCGATTGTTCCCTTCACATATAGCAAAATTCTTTTAGCAGCTTCCCAATGTTTTGAATATGGTGCTTCCATGAACCTACTTATGGCTCTGAGGTACATCAGATTTCCCACTAAGCTCCTAAACATAGTGTTATTAACAAGCTTTCCTTCTCCTTCTTTTCAGAGTTTCTGGCCTAAAATGCATGGAATTTCGATTGGATTTGCAAATTCCATCTTAAACTTTTTTTGAATCTCTCTAGCATACTACTCCTGAATAATAAAAATTTCACTTTGTGATTGGTGTACTTCAATAACCAAAAAATAATGTAATTTTCCCACATCAGTCATATCAAACTCTTTCATCATCAAAGCTCTAAAATCATCCAACATAGCCAGATTATGTCCAGTGAAGACAAGGTCATCAAACATAAAGACTCACTATAATGAAACTTCCATTAGGACAATTTTTGGTGTTGAGAGTATGTTCATGTGGACTTTTATGAAAACCATTNAACATTCGGTAGTTAAGTGTTGCTAAAAGGGTCTATCGCAACATTTTAATAAGAGAATGTTGCTATTGGTTAATATAATTGAGTTTTAGCAACATTTTATAAATAAACGTTGCAAAAAGTGTTTTTCGCAACGTTTATCGAACGTTGCGAAAAGTTTGATTTTTTGCAACGTTTATTAAACGTTGCAGAAGATCAACTTTTTGCAGCGTTGAATAAACGTTGCAAAAAGGCAACTTTTCGCAACGTTTATTCAACGTTGCGAAAGACACTTTTTGCAACGTTTAATAAACGTTGCGAAAGGTAAAGGGGATTAGGTGAATTGAGTTGGGCCAATTTTTTTAATTGTGGACCGGGTTAACCCGACCGGCCCGAAGTGTTAGGTTTACAAAGGTTGGACACCCAATTCATTTGTCTTTCTCCTCAACCTACTCTTCTAGCTGTCTTCCTTCGTGGATCCATACCTCAGTCGAAATATTTGGATTTCGTTTACAGCCACTTGTCTCTCATCTATTGAAACCTAGGGTTCCGACGACGATGCAGCCATCAAACTCTATTATTCCATCACCCATGGCTCCACCTCCTCAGTACAGACCCCAGCAGTGGATGCCACAGCAGCCGCAACAAATGCAGTACCAGGTTCCTCCACCGCAACAACCGTGACGGCGGCTGGGTACTACTACCAGCAACCAGCACAGGCTGCGCCGACACAACAGCCACAGCCTCAGCAGTACGGCGTCGCGCCTGCGGCTCAGGCTCTAGCCGATGATTGTATCAGGAGCCTCTGGATTGGAGATCTGCAGTACTGGATGGACGAGCAATACATATACAGTTGTTTTGCTTTGACTGGCAAGGTATATCTACGAGATAGACAGACTAAATTTTAAAGGTTCAATTGTGGTAGCTGCTTCTTTATAACTTGCTAGACTTTGAATTTGAGACTTCCACTTTTCCTGGCAACTTATTTACCTCTTTTTTTGTCAGGAACAAGGTAGCAGCTTGTGCAAAGCACTTTGTTGGTGATGGAGGAACAACCAAGGGTATAGATGAATTGATTACTCCAGCTGGAATGGTAAAAAATGCACGCAAACCACGAATTGATTACTGGATTTCTAAAGGGTAAACTTCAGTTCAAGGTAGGGTCTCAAAATATTAATATCCACACTCATTTAATTTGCATTCGAGAGAGGTGCTATAGTTTAAAGTTTTTCTTAGTATTAGTTTCACCTAAGGTTGATAGGCAACTTTGCATTGAATACCATGAAGAACTAATTGAGAGAGGTGCTATTACTAGTTTAATTTACATTTGAGAGAGGTGCTATTAGTAGTTTAAGGTTTTTCTTAGTATTACTAGCTCTGCTAATTGAAGTGGGCGAATTACCAGGGCCTTTTTTGTATATGGTATTAGAATGTGCTTATCAGTAGAATAGACAAGATTTAGCTTTTTTTTTCTTTCTTAATACTATCAAATGGTGTCTAATCTATATTACAAAAGCTGCTATCAGGGCTTTGTTATCTCAGATTAGCAGGGCATTGACCAGATCACCTCTCCACCACATTCAAACTACTCTTACTCTGTTCTAGAAAGTGTTCTAGCTGGCATCGACATGGTTACTGGCTTTTATTATGCATCTATACATCACTGAAATTGGTCCAACTATTTTCTTGAAAGTTCAGTATTGAACTCAGGAGGCATAGCTTTGATTTTTCACAGATTATGATCCCATACAATTTTACTAAGTTGCTGGAAACCAGACGAGCTCAGCTCGATCATAGCTTTAAGCAGTTGAAAAGTAAGAATGTCCTGGTTTTCTGGCCTAAAATTGTTCTGATTTTTTTGTGTTTCAGCTTTAACTTTTATGTTAACGACAACCATTTTCTGTTTTCCACACTTAGTTTTGCTGACTTTTTGTTAAAAATATGGTCTTTTAATTGTAATGCATCAAGATCTTACTGAATTGTTGCATATTTCAAAATTATTGAGCAACTGGATGAATTGGAATAACACATTTTGAATTGATTTTTATTTGGTGTTATAGAGACACTCTATCACTCAAGTGGAATGTTGAGTAACTTGAGCTCTACCTGGACTTCGAAACGTCCTTTGGCTCTTCCAAATCAATCCTATCGTATCCTTGATGAGTGTATTATTGTTTTAATCAATTCAAATCATCTTCTGATTCTAAGTATATTCGCATCTAAATGTTGTGAAAACACTTTGGACTAATTATTAATTTCATTGCCAAAACTGTTTCATTGACAGGAACAATAATTCTTAGTGCAATTAATTCTACAGTTCATAAAAACACAGAAGTTATCTATTCAAAAATGCTTCTTCAGTTGGTCTCTGCTAAAGTCATCCGCAATAAGCAAACTGGCCAATCAGAAGGTTATGGCTTGACATACAATGGCACTCAGACGCCAAATTCTGAGCAAATATTCAGGTTGAACTGGGCATCTACGGGAGCGGGTGAAAAGCATGATGATACTCCGGAATACACAATTTTTGTTGGAGACTTGGCGGCTGATGTAACTGATTACATGCTTCAAGAAACTTTTAGGGCCAATTACTCTTTTGTCAAGGGTGCAAAGGTTGTTACGGATAAGATAAGGGCTATGAATTTGTGAGGTTTGGTGATGAAAACGAACAACTACATGCCATGAATGATATGAAGTAGATAAATTATTGAGAAATGTGAGGGTTTGTGATGAAAACGAACAACTACATGCCATGAATGATCTGAAGTAGATAAATTATTGAGAAATTGAGTATTAATCAGATCTTTCTGATTGGAACAATCAAAGTGGGAGCTTTTAGTTTTGCATGTAGGGACTATTATATTTTAAATTTTATTCCAAATGTTGTATTGTATTATATTCTAATGTTGTATTGATTCAAAAAATTGTAATGCAATTATCAATTTTTATGCAATTCCAAATTTTGTTCACTAAGTGTTATTTTCAATTTTGTCGGTCAATTGCCACAAAAAAAAAAAAAAAAAAAAAAAAGGCAACGTTAAAACCC